TCAAGGGAAAAGGCTATGGAAAAGGAGGAAGAGGTCATTCAAGTGATCCGAGAGAGAAGGGCGACGGAGGGACATCGGATACCAGATGAGGTAGCAGACACAATGAAGATAGGGATAGAGGGGTTCTTAACGGAAGAAGAAACCCGCCTGATCAAAAGGACCTGCCAGGAGTTTCACCTGGCATTCGCCTTTAGTGATCACCAGAAGGGACGACTGGATGCGAAGTTGATCCCTCCGGTCAGAATCCACACGGTAGAACATGAGTGCTGGAATGATAAGGGGCCATCCTATGAATTTGGGATAGCAGGAGAAGTAACAGACCTCCTCCGAGCGAAGATTGACTCCTTCGTTGCGGAGCCTACGGCATCGCCATACGCAAATCGGTGGTTCGTCTTTCGGAAGCCTAACAAGACGCTAAGGTGGATTCAGGACCTGCAGAAGTTGCATGCGGTAACCATCCGGGATGCTGGCTTGCTACCTCAGGCTGACTTATTAGCAGAATCGCACGCCGGTCGGAGTATTTACTCCCTGATAGATCTATACTCAGGGTATGACCAGCTTCCATTGGATGTTCGGGACAGGCCATACGCCGCTATGCACACCTCCGTAGGCCAGCTACAGATGCAAGTGACACCTATGGGATTCACAAACGCGGTGGCCAAAGCGCAACGCAGGATGCTCGCTGTGGGCGGGGACATGTTTCCAGAAAAATGTGAACCTTACATCGATGACAATCCGATCAAAGGTGCGCAGGAGAAGGACGAGACGGAAGTCCAGCCAGGGATCCGACGTTTTGTGTGGGACCACATGTAGGACATCAAGGATCTACTCCGACGGTTCCTAGTATACAACATCACGGCCAGTGGACCGAAGAGTATCCTAGCAGTACCGGAGGTAACTATACTAAGATTTCGTTGCGGTGCTTACGGCAGGAAGCCGGATCCGGCAAAAACCGGTAAGATATCACAATGGCCGACACCCTTGCGCACGACAACGGAGGTAAGGGCATTCCTAGGCGTAGTCGGCTTTTGGAGGATCTTCATTAAGAACTTTGCCAAGATTGCTGAGCCTATCCGGGCTATGATCGGGGAAGAAGGAACCATGGATTGGACGGAGGAGCGAGAAGAAGCTGTCCAAAGGCTCAAGGACATATTGACATCTGAGACAGTCGCCCTGTCCGCGCCTTGTTTTAATGACGAGGAGGGACGACCCTTCATCCTGGAGACGGATGGAGGACCTTTGGCCGTAGGAGGTGTGTTGATCCAAAGGGATGAGGGAGGAAAAGAGAGGCCGATTAGGTTCGAAAGTAGAACCCTGAACTCCGCAGAACGGCGGTACTCGCAATTCAAGAAGGA